GTCCTGTGGGGACGATCTCTGTGGCTATGCCAGGGAGTCTGCTGCACTCACTACTGGGCCAATTTCATGAAAAGAGTTTTAGTCTCATTGGATTTTTAAAATCAAGTTGTGGCTCTACTGCAGCCATGAGACCATGCGGCTCCTCTCCCAGCCCCGGGCCCCAGGCTGAACTTTGCAGACTCCCAGGGAAGGAGGCACGCCCAGCGGTGGTGACCCAGCAGCCACCACCCACCCAAGCCTGCTCCCATGTCGCTGTTTCCAAAAGACGTACTCCACACCGTGTGGACTAAGGGGAGCCTGGACCCCCTGCCCAGCTCAAGTCAGGACCATCTTGCTTCTCATGGTGAGTTAAATGCTATTACTGGCAGCATGGGAACACCGCATGAGGCCGCAGCCCTGTGAGCTCTGCCTCATCCCCCAGCCCTGCTCTGTCACTGGATGACATCTCGTCCCTCCCAGAACAACCGCCACCTGATCTGGTCAGTTTTGAGTAAATTCTATGGAGATTTCCCCTGCGATCCTAAAGTAGGAAGGTCGTCTTTGGTAGAATTTGGAAAATTATTTTTTGGATCTGGGAATGCCATTACTGTTATCCTATAAGGAAAACATTTTTGTGACTTCCCAGCCCCAAGCAATGACCTATGAAATCCTACGCAAGGGGACTCCTCTAGCCATCCTCCTTCCAGAGAGAGAGGGGACCCAGTACTTTGACTTGACCAGGGTCTCCACTTGCCTCCAGCCCTTCTAGAAGGGTGACAGCAAAAAAAACCAAAAAAAACAAAAAAAACAACAACAACAAAAAAACAGCACTGGAAGCAGGGAGAAGGCCACCGCAGGCGTCACCCGTCAACCCCCAGCTTCACGGGCCTGCTCTCCTGCTACCACAGGGACACCAGGCTCTGGTCACCACACCCGCCATAGACACATGTCAACTCTGCACTCGTCACCTGTTAAACACCCCAAACTACATAGGGGGCGCTGTGAAAGAGAGGACAGAGACCTTTCTCTCTGGGGAGCTTGCGTATTTATGTGACTTAAATAAAGGCCCAATTAAGTCCTTCATTTTTCCAGTGCCTGAAAGATCTGCCGCTGTAATTCAAGCCTCGGGAACCCTCTGGCTGGGTCATGGTGGAAACGAGAGGCACGCAGGAGAACTACACCGTGCAGTCTGCTTTCCTTCCTGACAGCGGGGCCTCCTCGCTTCTGTTTTCACTTCCTCTCTCCCACAGGCAATAAAGGACAGAGTTGGAAACCCTCATTTCATTTAAACATTTCTGCTTTAACACATAAAAATATTTTGGTTTGTCGTTAAGGTGCAGTGAGGAGCTTCAGCACGCAGCCAGGCCGTGAGGAGGGAGGCAGCAGGAACAGCAACAGGTCAGCCAGTGGTAAGAGGGCCGCCCAGGACACGCCCTGGCCCGCTATTTCAAAATACATTTTCATTTATAGATATTTAAATTTATTTATTGGAAGACCCATTTGATTGAGATGAAAGAAGTCCTCCCCCTTGCTGGTAAAGCTGGGCCTTCTTGGGAGGAGTAGATACAAAGAAATCACCTAGAACCATGATAACTTGGTCAGAGGGTCTCAGTCTACTGGCTACTCGCCATACGGTTTCTGTCCTAAATTTTATTTCTGTGTCCTCCCACCTGCAAAGTGTGAATTCTAGTAACAAGCACGTGTTAAAGAAAAGCCTGTGAAGCAATTGGTAGAAAGTATGTTGCGCAGAAGTCAAGTGAGACCTTCTACAGGCAGCTCGATAACTTGCTAAGAAGCAGTGTGACAAAAATAGATGAGCTCCAGAAAAGTAAAAGAGAAGTTAACTACCATTAACCGTGAAATTAATGCAGCAAAATAGCAACAATCTTCTGCTCCTTTGCCCAACTCGCCGGCCAGCCGTGTTTCCTGAGCCCAAGCACAGGTGACTCTCGTGGTGGTGGGGTGCTAGCTGGGGACACCGCGCAGGTCCCCTGCTGTCCTCTGTCCACTCCTTGCTCTTCTCTCGTCCCTCATCCCCTGCCTCCAGCACTCAGTCCTGCAGCCTATTCTCTGCTCCCCATACTGACTCCCGGGGAGATGTCACCCACTTCCTTGGCCTTCAATTTATACCCAAGCCTCATTTGAGACCCCTGAGAGGTGATGTCTTAACAGGACCCTGAAAGGGATCAAGACCAAATGGATGGATCTTCCCCTCCAGTCTTCCTAGTTCAGTAACAGACACAGCTAAGTGTTAAGGCACAAATCCCGAGTCACCTCTGATCTCTCTCCCCACTGGACACCTTTGCTCCTTCATCAGCAAGTTCTGCCGGCCCCTGCTGGCCCCTACCGTCAAAAGGCAGCCTGCTTCCCAAGCTTCCTACTCCTGCGGGGGCGTCCACCATCTCTCCCTTTACCCAGGCGGCCTTGGCGGGTCTCTCAGAAGGCACGTCAGTGCTTAAAACCGTCCAGAAGTTTTCTCTCCCAGAGTCAGTCCAACAACTGGCTAAGACCCCACACAGCCCCACCTTAGCACTGCTTGCCCTTCCCTGGGCTCCGGCAACCTCAGTCGCCTTGCTGACACCTGCACAACCAGGCACTTGGCACCGGGCTCTGCAGGTGCTGTTCCCCCAGACCACCCACGCAGCAGCTGTTCCCCCAGACCACTGGCTGGCTGGCTGGCCTTCTTCAGGGCTCTGCTCCAAGGTCACCTCACCAGGGAGACCTTCCCCAAACACTTAATATCCCATTGCACCCCACCACCCATCACTCTTCGGAGCTCTGCCCTTGCAGCCTTTTGCTGCTTAATTTCCTGCTGGCACTTAGCACCATCTGGCAAGCTGTGCACGCCTGCTGTTGTCCACACTGGAATGCGGTTCTGGAATGACGGCAGGGGCTTCTCCCGGCTCGGTCCACAGCTGGGGGCAGAACCCAGGCGACACAAGGAGCCGTTCACAAGTATGTTCACATTCATCTGAATGAATGATCGTGTAATACTGTCAGGCCAGACTGGCTGTCACCTCAGGACGCGGAGGCTGATGGGGAGCAGCAGTGCCAACAGTCCCCCTCACTCACGCAGAGTATTGCAAAAAGGGGAGCCCTGGTGTTTCCGTAACACGCTTTAAAAGCTGATGTTGTGCCCTTTGATTCTGCTGAGCCACCTGCACTATGTGTATAGAGTCTGGGGCAGAGAGACCTGAACTGGAGGAGAAAAACCATAGGCTTCCCCTCCCATCAGTCACCACCCACAGAAGGCCTCCAGGGACCAGGTGCCACCAACTCCTTCAGGAAAGAGCGGATTGTGGAAACAAATAAAATGATCCCTTCACCGATTCCCAAGGAGCAGCCTCTCCCAACCCCTTTCCAGAACAAGCAGACATTTTTTCTGATTCGCATCTTTTCAAGAAGCCATTCTTAATGTGCACATGAAATCTCAGTTGAAGAAATAGCATGATTACATAATTATCCACACAGAAAAGCCTGGTACTCTACCGTTCTCCTTTTCACAAAAATGTTTTAACCAAAACTAGATGGTTAGATTTTCTGGAAGACGTTTGGCTGTGAAGCAGACTTAGCAGAAACATACTCACTTAGCTAAGCTGTGGGATGGTGGGTACAGAATCTCAAGACGCCACAGTTTTGCTTACTATTGTTTATTATTTCATACATTCTTCCCAAACTCCCCCCAAGAAAAGGAAGAGAGAAAAATGCACTCTGGCGCAGCCAGCCAGGCAGTCACCTCCCAGGCAGCTGTTCTGGGAGCTGTGACCTAACTGTTCAGCACTGACACAGATAACGCTCGGGCGGTAGATGTCACTTGTCTCCCGTTAAAAACAAAACAAACAACAAACCCACACTGCGACCCCAAGAAGGCCAGCACAAAGACAGGCATGAAAACTGAGATCAGTGGTTTCTCCCCACACTGCGCACTCACCCCTTACCCCGAGGCAGTCCAGCCCCTTCCCAGCGCGGGTTCCCAGGCGCAGCCCGGCACTGCGGACACCCCGAAGCCCCAGCTGGGGCGCCCCCAAAGCGCGCACAACACGAGGGACACTATCCCACTCCTGGAACTGGGGCCAGTGCCGCCAGGAGGCGATGCGGGGGCGGGGCGGGGTGTCCGAAGGTCCGGACTCGGAAAGGTGACTCGGCCGCGGCGCACTCTGCCCCCACCTCGCGGGTCCAGTTCCACCTCAGTCCACCTGCGGGGCCTGAGCGCACACCTGGGGCAGAACTTCCCTGGGCGCCAGGGGTGGCAGGCCGGGACCCAGCAGAAGAGGGTGGAATGTGAGATCCCGGGACTAAGCAGAATGGAGAGGTGGGGGCGATACCCGGACCCAATAGAAAAGGGTTGGGGGGTGGGGTGGAAAGGAGGGGTGGGGGGAGGGGAAAGATCCTGGGACGGAGCAGAACGAGCAGGGGGTGGTTTGCCACACCGGACGCAGCAGAACTGGGTGGGGGGGCGTGCTACTCCAGGACAGAGCAAAGCTGGGGTGGGGGCGGGAGACGCAGGACGCAGAGAGCTGGGGGTCGGACAGTGCAGCACCGGGGGGAGAGGTGCGACCACCCCGGAACCAAGCAGAACCAGGAAGGGGCATGGGACCCCAGGACAGAGCAGAGCCAGGGAGCGGGGCGGCGTGCGACGGACCCCGGGACAGAGCTGAGCCCGGAGCCACCAGCCCAGGACTCATCACCAACTCGCCGCCTGTGGGCGGAGCGAGGGTTGGGGTCGTCCCGGGGGTCCTGAGGGCGCGCGCGGCGGGGGTCGTGTCCCGGCGCAGGGCCGCGTGACAGAGGGGGTCAGGCCCTGGGGCCGGGGGCCAGGCCGCCCTCGCCTGCAGACAAGGACCCCTCGCCCGGCTCAGCGGCGCCCGCACCCGGACCCGGACCGATGTCCTCGCCGCGCCGCTGGGCCGGTCCCCGGAGAGTCGCGCGGCCGGGCCCAGTGGCGCGAGCCCGCAGCGCCCCCCGCGCGGCCCGCAGCGCCCCCGCGTCCCGAAGGGACCCCCGCGCGGCCCCGGCCTTACCCGCCAGCTCGTCAGGCTCCAGCCCGCTGTCCGCGTCGATCCCGCACAGCACGAAGTAGTGCGCGAAGCGGAAGGCGGCCGAGGAGGACCCCGAGCCCGGGCCCGGCCCCGCGCCGCCGCCGCTCATGCTGCCGCCGCTCCGCCGCCCGGAGGCCGCCGCCGGGTGCGCTCGGCTGGGCTCCGCGCTACGGCGACCCCGGCGCGCCCATGGCCGGCAGCGGCTCCTCCTCCGCCGGGCAGCGGGCGCGGGCGCGCGCACTGGGCCGGCCAGACCGCGGAGGGCGGGTGTGTGTGTGGGGGGCGGGGGGGGTGTCCGCCGCGCCGCCGCCGCTGCGCCCCAGCCCGGAGCCCGCGTCTGGCGCCCGCCGGTCAGCTGAGCGGCGCGCGGCCCCGGGCGCAGGGAGGCGCGGGGGCGGGGGCGCCCAGGAGGGGCGGGGGCCGGGCGCGCGCGCGGGGCCGGGGGTGGGGGCGCTCCGGAGGCGGGGGCGCGCGTGTCGGCCGGGCGCGCGCCGCGGGCTCCGCGGGAGCGCGGGGAGCGCGCTGGGCTCGTGCCCGCCGGCGGGGCAGCGGCGCAGAACGACCCCACGCCCCGGCTCGCGCCCCGCAGAGCGGAGTTCTGGCTGCTAAACCAAGGGCACCGAGCCTCAGTTTTTACAATGCGGCTTTGGTTAACAGCCCTGAGATCGGTTCTCCCCACGGCTGGACCATGCTCATCTTTTTAACGGAGCCTGTGCTGGGGCCTCCCCACCCTCACCCACAGTCACACTCCAGCCTTCCGCAGTGAGTTGGTGACCCCCTCCCCGCCGCGAGCGGGGAAGACACAAGTCAGTGGCCACAGCGCCCAGGCCCTCTGGGCAGCGCTACAGCGGCCAGCTCCCCCTCCCCCACCCCCAATTCCGTAATTCGTCCTGACGTTTTCCAGGTCAGAGGAAAGTGGCCGGGACGCTCCAGTTCCCCAGCCAGCGCTCTCGAGGCGTTATCAGCGCTCTCCGCAGGTACCACCCCAGGCTGATAATGGCACAGGAATTAGACCCTGAACTCTGCCCTGCCCTGCTCTCTGATTTTTCGAATGAGCTTCCCAACCTGTTATTTCCTTGAAAGGTGAAAAACAGTTGATGCCATCTCCACATTCTCTTCCCTCCCATACTGCTCCCTCCTCTCGCAGGATTCTGGTGTGGGGTCGGGGCCGTTAACACCCCTGGGAGGCACACAAGCAAACCTTTGGGGGGTGGGGGGCAGGCTGAGAAAGCCCCAAGAGCCTTCTTCTTGGAAGATATGCAGGCACGCTGTCATCTACTGCAGCCTCTATCCTCGTTTTCTCTCTTCAGTTATGAAATGTAAAAATCAGTTGAGCGGGTGGAACACAGCAACTGGATTGCCAGGGCCCTCACTGCAGTGGTGCTTCAGGGTTCTTGATATTTGCAGTGTCTTGCAGGGCCCCTCGACTTATCGTTATGGAATGAATCAAAGGGTGGGTATCTAAGTGGTTGAGACTAGGAAACCACACAAACCTCTATATCTGCAACATATTTATGAACTTATGCTAATTTGCTCTTATGTAATTATTGCTTCTCCTATAGAGAGTACTGGAATATGCACAGCTTCACTGGGAAGGAGGGAGGGAGGGAGCCCTGAGCCAGTGTGTGCTCCCCCTGCTCTCTTTGCTGGGAGCATCTTACAGGATGAGTGTCAGTTTGCAGGCCAGTCAAGCAAAGCTCTACAGAGAAAGGATGGATGTGCGTTTTGCACTAGCCAACACACACTCCACTTTTTGTTCCTTTGAAAATTGACTTATGAGCTTGTAAGTCCTTCATTGCTGTTTTTAAAATGAAAAACAAAACAAAACAAAACAAAAAAAAAAAAAAGAAGCTCCAACAACCCAACAAGCAATACATCCAACTGTGATATATAGGTCTTATCAAAATAGACAAAACTCTCTAAAATCTTTCTGAAAACTTTCAATGCGATAGCCACATTGGAAAATTGAGCACTAACTTGAAAATAACTGGAGGCATCCTGATGCCCACTTTGGAGTGACACTGGAGGTGTGCTCTGTTTTGAGTGGCCACCAAACAGTAGAAAGGACCATGGAGAATGACCCCTGCACATGTATTTTCCTCTAAAATAATGACATAGATGTAAGCTAGCTAAGCGAAGAAAAGTGGCACGAAGTACATCTTCCAAAATATTTAAGTCTTGTTGAGGAAGGTACGGGTCCTACCCACCTCTGGGGCTGAGACAGCTGTTGTTAGCCCCATTCCTCACTTCCCCCAGCCCCTTGCACACGCACACACCACTTGAGGGAGCCAGCCCTTCACTGGCCTTGGCCTGAGGTCAGAGTCCGGCAAGCTACCAGGGTAGCCAGGGCGAGTGGACTTCTGCTCCTGCCCTGCAGAGCTCAGCCTCTCCACACCGCTATGCCTGCCCTGCAGCTCTCACCAGCCGGCCCTTCAGAGGTGGCTGATGTGTTTCTGGTGCTTAGAGCTTTGCCTTCCCTTGTGTTCCCAGTTCCATGTGCATTTGCTACCTAAATTGAGAACCTGCAGTGGAGGGGATCATCTCAACTTTACCTCTAAATAGTATTTAAAATCCCAGACAGTTACCATTACAACAAAAGGAAATCTTGACTGGCATTTTCTCTTGCTAGAGTTTTAGCTTTCTGGGAAAATTTCACCATGACAAGAGGCTATTTGGAAAAAGTGATAATCTTTCCTCATCAGAGTTTCAGAAGAAGGGTTAGCTAATGCCAATAAGAGTTTGGTAGCCATTTTCCATAAATCCGTTCCTACATTATACAACAAGCTTACTAGTATCACCTTTATGGAAGTCACTGTGCTGAAGCTTTACGGAAGTGGTGAAAGTAGACAACAATAACATTTGTCAACATTTTATTTTATTTTACTTAAATAAAATCAGTTATGCATACAAGAACTGGGGTACAGGCCAGAGGTACAGGGATGGAGAGGATTCACCAGAGACAGAGTGGGGAGCGGAACAGGCAGATCTACTGAAATACACTGCTGAGGGGAGCAGCGGGCTAGTCAGGAGAGGCTGTGCCATGTGGGTAGCTCACAGGCTGGGGATCAAACTTGTGCTGCAGTGGCTATGGATAGCCACATAGGCTGCGTCTTAACCCCTTGAGCCACCAGGGAGGCCCTTGTCAACATTTTAAATATGTCTTAGTTGGTCTGGTCTACAGCCTCTCAAAATGGTTCTTCTACTTTCTTAGGAAGCTCTCTGGGCCATTTTGTCTACCTTTACCTCACATGAAATGCTCAACATCAATTCCTTTCACCTCTTCAGGGCCTGCATACCTGACTGGTGTCCTCCCCAGGTGTGTGTCGCCAGGTGGTAAATGAATAAGCTGGGTCCCTGCCCCGCTAACCTCCACTCAGCGGTAAACAGAGCTTCCGCTACAAGCAACAAGGGAAGGACTGTCAGAGACAGGCTGAGCAAGAAAGGCAGAAGCAGTGGGACCCCATCACTCCATTCATACAATGTTCCCTACTGGGCAGAACCAGCCTATGGCACCCTGGGGTTGGGCGTGGGGACCTTTCTAGAGGATAGAAAAACCTTCTCTCTCCATTGTCCTAGTGATTTCATGGGTGCTTACTGATTGAATGGGAGAGCTTATAATGGGTGCATTTCAATATAAATGGCACCGCCACAAAATCTATTTAAAAAGAAAAAAAAGCCAAAAATTTGTGGCAATTTTTAACTGCATCCTATGTTTCTAAACTTAGCAGTTCTTGAAGTTCAAGTTAGTGGCTTGACAAGAACTGATTCACATTTTTACAATGTGAATATCTTCATTCCTCTAAAACTCAATGTATCTGAATTTAATAAACCTGTTTTAAAAATTGGGCTCGGTGTTCCTTTTCTCAGCCAGTGTGCTGCTTATGGGGACAGTCTTGGCTCAAATCTCCTTTCTTCCTACAAGACAGTGAATGGGCTTCAGGGCCCTCAACTTCCTCTTCTGCGTGAGCTGTGGGGTCACCGGGGGGGCTGGAGTTCTAGGAGCAAATCCACAGACTGAAGAGTCAGATCCAGGCACTGGGAAAGCACAGGATGCATGTAAGATGTTGCATGTAAGATGTTGCTGTGGCCCAGCATTGCACTAAATAAATACTTCGATATGCAACATCTCACTATTTGACCTTTAGCAGAAACCATATGATCAGAAAACCAGTGCTTGGGTATGATTATAAATATTTGAAATTCTTAATGAAATTCCAAGAGATCCCATGTTTCTTGGGTAGCACCTCAGAATACAGAAGCACAAAACCAACTGTAATCATACAGAGCTGGACCCTGGCCCTGGCCCCACTCAGGGAGGGGTGAAGAGGGGGCAAGAGTGTGTGCTGGGTCTGAAGCAAGGTCAAGAGGTTGAGTTTCACAGCCAAACATGGCATCCAAGGGAAGTGACAATCTCAACATGAACCCCTGACAGCTGGCAAAAAGGGTTCTGAGATCCAGTTGTTGCCAAAGGTGGCGGGTTGGGGGGGTTCCCATTAGGGGCATCCAGAAGTCATGGGGTCCCAAGTATTCCAGATGGGTTAAGAGATGAAGAGGAGCCTCGCTGGTGGCACAGGGGTTAAGTCTCAGCGCTATCACCACTACGGCTTGAATTCAATCCCCGGCCAAGCAGCTAACCGATATAGGGCGCAGCAGACCTCTCCTGTCTCACTCACTGCTTCTCTCAGCAGTGGATGTCAGTAGATCCACCTGTTCTGCTCCCCACTCTGTCCTGGTGAATCCTCTCACCTCCACACCTCTGGTCCACACCCGAGTTCTTGTATGCATAAATGAATACAAATAAATCTTTAAAAATAAAAAGAGGTGAAGAGGATGCAGAAGGTTGAACTGTGTCCCCCAGAAAGATGTTTAGGTCCTAATCCCTGGAACGTACACTCAGGTTCTCTGCAGAAGTCATTACGTTAAGGGAGTCAGGATGAGATCATCTGGATATAGGGTGGAGCCTAAATCCAAAGGCTGAGGTCCTCATAAGAGAAAGGGGACATGAGGTCCTGAGACCTGGGGGAGGCCAGTGCAGACAGGCAGATAATGGAGCAATGTAGCGACTAGCCCAGCAAGCCAAAGCTACCTGCAGAAGGCATGGCCCTACCA